GATGGTAAAAGACCATTAAGCATCACGCTGTTAACTCACTGTGGTCACGTTTACATGTTTTCAATATAGATAGATAGATTGTCTCAGAGAGGCGTTTTTTAACACAGTTTCAGATTTGTGAAACCTTTATTCTGTTTCTGTAAATAAAAAAACTCTGACAGCTCGGAACACGGTGCACACAGCAAGCGCATGTTGCGGGTCTAAAGATGTAGGCACACGTTTCCCGTTGCTTGGAGTCCCATTTTGTCCGAAGCAGCCACAAGTCCAAGCTGTGCCAGCATGGCTCCTATCCTGGCTTTTTCCTCTCCTCTGGAACAATCGAGCTGCTGGTGGGTGGCGGCAGAGGATGCGACTGCCCCTAAGGCCTAACCTAGGGCCAGTAACAACTCGTTACAAGTAAAACAAATGACGGACTCTGGTGTGGTTTGCTTGTGATGCAAAAGCAAACGAGCCAACCACATGATTTTATGACAGCATAGAAGAGATTTTAGCAATATTTCAAAAGATAAACTATTAATAGCCTCCGTCTGCTGATCGTGAAATATGTTCAGGGAGCGATCATATAATTGGAATGTATGCTATAAGCCGTGTATAGCCTACTTTAGCCTATTTAGTCAGGTAATTAAGTCCATTAAAAAGTGTGCGACAGCGATCTCACAGTAATAAATAAATTCAAAATGAATGCTTATCCTGATTCCTGGTTAGAGCAAATGTTGTAGCATTTTACTGTTGTCAGCCTCATCAGCAGGCTTTCTGGCTTTAGTATTACCTTCCTCCTTGGGACTGCCCTTTGACAGCCTCACATTAGATAAGACCCACCTTCCTGATTCAGCAAACAAATTAATAAGAACTAATGTAAAACTAAATGTATTAATCACTTACTGTCATGGCACTGAGGCAGAATTTGACTGTGTACTGTTAGACTAATGACAAAGACAAAGTTAAAAAATTAAAAGCATGGCTGTTTCTTCTTTAATTTCATATTCTTTCATTGTGTTAAAGTTTAATCAAGTGTGTTGTTATCCAGACAAATATGCAAGGTTTTAATGATCAGCAGGCAGTGACAGTAGAATCACAAGTTCAGTAGTAAAAGGTTTAATACAGCATTAGAAATTAAAACAAACACTTGGGCTACTGAACTACCAAATATAGTAGGCCTATTTAACACCTGATTGTGGTAGGCTGATATTAATAAAAATATACTAATAAAAAGATAATCACAATGGTAGTAGCCAAATAGTTTTCTGATTAATGCTAGTTTCCATGCTTTAACCTCATTCAATTCTTTCTTTTCCTGTAAGTCTCATTTAAATGAATCTTTCAGGGATAGCTGGAAAACTCAATTCCATAAAAGCAAGACCTGGGTCCTCATTTATAAAATTGTGCGAATTCATGTCAAAAGGTTGTGTGCGGACAAAACAAAACATCTTCTTTTATAGAGGGGCTACACAATCAAGTGTCATTCGCAGTGAGCCAGCAGCACTATCAACAAAATGATCAATTTGGGACGGCCTAAAGTTAACACAGGAGTCCTCTGTTATATTGAGACATGGTATTGATTTAAATGCTGATCACTGCTGAATCACTTTCTGTACTTATATCTTGTAATGGCGTGTCCTCCAGCAATCGGAACTAAAAGGTTAAATAGTGGTCAGATTAAAAGGGATTCTGTGGAAAGACTATTAAGTGTTCAGTTTCAATGCCAGATGCAAGAACAAGGTCAAGGGTGTAGTTTACGAAACTCTGACAGAAGCTAACTGAATCTGATAATGAGATAAACTCAGTACTAAGGCTGTTGTTGTCAACATCCACATGAATTTATCCACATGAATTTTAAAATCACCTACAATAAATATTTTATCTATTTTAAGAACTAAACTTGATCAGAATGGTGCATAGTGAGATAAAAATTTAGAATATGGACTGGGAGTGCAGAAACAGCTTAAACAATTCCCTCACATTAAATTAACAACAAAAACATTGACATATTTTGCTTGGGAAGTGTCTGAAACTCTTTCAGCACCATGGACAGCTCACTACAGGCCTGGAGCGCGAACAGGAGAGCGAGTGACAGAGGGGGAGCAAGCAAAGCCGGAGAGCGACATTACAATCTCTGGAATAAATGTGTAACATGATCATAGGCATGTTTCAATTGATTCACCTCCCCTTTTCCATGTTCTACCATCCACCTAACACAATACATTTTTTTGTGCAAGCATTAGAAAACCTAATGCTTGCCAAATGCCAAAAACATTTGCAGAAGCAAAGCCCGTGGTGATTTAAACTGTGCCAACAACCATTCATCTGTCTCTGGCAATGTATCAGCACGGTGTCACTCTCCAAGGGCCCGACGTGCTAAGGCATCCAAAAGATTATACTTCCCTTAGACCTTATTATATACAGAGACAAATTAACCTTCACTTTGCAGTTTGAGATGTTCATATTGATTGTAGTGTTATAAAAAATAATTACTTATGAATTATGACATTGTTAGGATTGTAGGCCAGATGGCTGTGCAGTAGCAAGGCTTTGGTTAAGATAACTTATTCCGAGATGGGAAATTCCGAGAAAAATAAGCAGTGACGCCAGTCCATATTTTACAAGTGCAGTAAGTGCAACTCTACAGTGGAAAGGGAGAATGGTGCTTTACAGTAAATTGCTGAAAAATAAAAGCGCTTCCTTTAGTTTTCACAAGATGAGAGCAAAAACCTGGTTCTTCTATTACTGTGGAGGGAGATTTTTTTTGTGTTTCTGTATTTTCATTTAAGCCAGCATAGAATCCTGAAAGGCAGGGAAGTGTAGAGGGAAAATACAGATGATGGTCCGGCATGCCCTCACACAGTCATACAGGGTACAGTGTAAGCTGATTGTTTCAGTAAACATGGCCTCTGGGAAAATGTAAATGTTAAATGTAAACGTATAAAGAGCTTCCTTGAAATGTATATCTATGTAATATGTTTTCCTTGTCATATGATTTGTCTTACCCAATGAAAATGTCCCAACGTACTGGTGTATTTGACCTCTAAGTGTATAATGATCAACTGATTGGTGCTTTGCCTTTTACCTGAGACAGCTCTGTGTTGTTTTTTCTCATTACAATCTCCTTTCATAGTAGCAAAAGGATACAGACGGATATAAAAAAACATCAATAATAAATCACATAGCTAGTTCAAGGAAATGGAAATTCAGGCAAAGTGCAAAAATGCCAGAGTGCAGGTATAAAAGTGCCCCAGGATTATGCCAGGAATGCAGTCAGAGTGCTAATTTGATTGAGCATATTGATTGCACTACAGATGAAAGAGGCACAAACTCGCTCTGGAGAGGATGATCCTGGCAGTCCATGCCTCCCTGGGACTTTATAAACAAGACTTCCAACTCTGTTCTTATTGGACAGATTTATGTTTCCAAACCAAGCAATAATACAGAAGGTAAAAACAGATTCAATAGAACTTCTTTAAAGAATAGGTAGCATCAACATGGGATTTGAAACATGTAAAGGTTCTTTGTCACATACACATACATGTAGCAAACATAGTTTGCTATTCAGAACAATAACCAAATATTTGTAAATATTAACAACGATTGGTGTTTGTGGTCACTTCCTGAAATCAGTGGTCATATTTAATGGACAGCCACGGGAGTTGTATTGACCTTCTCATCTAACTGTAAAGACATTAAGCATTTCCAAAATGTACTTTGGCTTTGATACTTCTTAAAGTTGATTTATTTGATGACTGATCCTTATAAGAAAACAGAATGGGCTGACAGGGAAAGCTCTCATTAATCAGACATAAATCCTGTAGAAATGTTTGGATACGGATTAGTTATATATTATTAACAGAAGAGATTCTTTAACCTGCGGCGGCGTAATGGTGCAATGGTTAGCACTGTTGCCTTACAGCAAGAACGTTGTGGGTTCAAATCCCAGTTCCCTGTTGCAAAAAAACTAGGGACCTAGAAATGTGGTTGATAGGTTGCCAACCATGAAATACTGATTTGGTCAGCCGGTGTCTGTTCAACTCCTTCATCAGATGTTGGCTGTGATGTGGAATTTTGTTGCAAAACCCTTAAAACCAAGATTTTTGTGTAAAACCTCCTCCATAAAGGCAATCATTAGATAAATCATGATTATCTTCACTGTGGACTCTATCCAATCACATCACATCATGGAGTTTACCCCCAGGCCCATGTAGTACACTCCACTTCAGGTGATCCATGTTCCAGTGGTCATTTTAGGACACACCATGGAATATTTGCCCAAAGTTCATGTAATTCACACTTAGTACCAACAGCACCATTTGACTGGTTTCACATTCACAGTTACGACAATGCTTACACGTAAATATAAATCACAATGATGTATGATTTCAACATGTATTGTGGTAGGGGTGTTCCATCTCCTTAACTTATATGGCTCGTGAGTTATATTAAAATTTAATTGCTATCACCCTACATCAGTTATAGGAAGCACTCTGCACCAACTGGGTGATGTGATGAGTCACACCCAGCACTTTAAAGATTTTACTGTGACTGAGAAGGACATTCTCCTAAGTGTCTCTAAAGTGTTAAAGTGGAACGAGTACAGGAGGATAGCATATAGAGAGCCTAAGTCACTCACTTCCGCTTCCGGCTCATGGGACCTTATTTTGGAAAAATGATGTACGGTAGTCAATGGCGAGAGACAACTTATCTTTTTATCCCGTTAGAATTGAACCCTGAATTACACATATGATGTTGGTCAATTTAAAATAGAATTTTGCAAGTCAAGAAAGTCGCATTTTGTTGTAAAACAGTAACGTTACATGTTACATGAGGGACTTAGGCTCTATGGAGCTAAGTTAAATGCTTTGTAATGGTACTATCGGAGGTCACCACCAGCAGCTCCTACTGTCAGTGCTCTACAGGGGTTTGGAAAAGTCAAGTTGAACCATCTTCAGAGAAGCGGCAAAAATCTATGAAGTTGAATTACAGTAATCAATTCTTGGTCACTAGGGCACAAAACAAATCAAAACAAGTTTAATTTCATTATGTTACCACTAATATTTAGCTTTGACAAAGCAGGTTGGCAGCTCTGTGATTTAAATGTAATCAATGCAAAATTTTCAATGTCAAAGTGATGAAACAAACTAAATAAAGACTTGTAGTAAGCCAATGTCCCTTCACAATATGTTGCATTACACCCTTAAAATTCATGCAAAATTAGCTTCACTCTAGTAAAAACACAAGAAACAGAATAACTGAATGGTAAAAAAAAAATCTATAAAAACTCATAAAACAGTATTTTAATACCGTCAGTGTGGTCTATAAGATAATAACAGCTCCCACTGCTCAGCCAGCAGTAAACATGCTAGCAGGTGAGAAGAAGCGAAAGTAGTAGAACATATTTTACTTCTATTAATACAATTCATTTTTATTTATATAGCACCAATCGGATAAGCAGATGAAGATGGATGGATGGCAATTCATGACATAATTATCTAATCGCACCTTTAATATTGAACAGGACTGTATTTTTTGTAATATTGTTTACAGAGAACCAAACGATTCAAAGAGCAAGCACTTTGCGACAATGTCAACTCCCTTTTAACAGGTAGAACCCTTCAGCAGAACAACTACAGTTATCACGTACTTTAAATGTAACTTGTAAAGAGTTTTGGTCCAGACCAATAAGGACAAAATCAACTATGAAATGCCGTAACATAAACAAGTGTCCATAGCATGTGAACTACTTTTTGCTAAAAATCCCCCAGTGCAATCTCTGTCATACTAGGAGATAACGAATTCATGAGGAAGTGATTAAGACACAAATTGCTCCACTTGTTGAATGTTATTGTTTTTATCTGACTACATTGAAGCTTATGTTGTGATTCCAGTTACTATGAGTACATATAAGAGCAAAATGTTGCTGTTATTCATTTTGAACTTTGTCAGGCCTAATCCAGTCTGGAGCCATACACCTCCACCTCACACAGAGTCAGGAACTCCTCTCTTTCTGGAATGACAATGTTAACATAGCGACCGTCCATCCCGTTACACTGGAATTCAGCAACACCACCTGCCGGGATACTTGTGATCACAGCACACCTGGCAGAAGAAGCAGAAATCACTTTAGTTAACTCCAGAAAAGGTTAGTCTTTGTCCCTTTAACAAAGGGCATGAAGCAGTAATGAAATAATACTTAAAAAAGTAAAACCAGATAAACAAGTTAAAAGTCTGGACTAAAGCAATAGACCAACTGCTAACATGGTTTAAAATGTTAATAAGAGCAGCTGTAAAAGAGGTTGTGTTGAATTACAGCACAATATATGTGAAGATGTAAATCAAGAAACCAGGGCTGGTATTTATCAAGCTTCTCAAAGTGCCATTTTAGTCTTAAGTGCTGAGAATTCATGAAATTTACTCCTACTTTTAAACTTAAGAATAAAAGCAAGTTATCAAATTTCTCAAAGCTAAGAATCACTCTTACTCTCCCAGTTATTTAAGACAGCTGTAGAGGTCTCTCAAGTGGTTAGGATTGCCAGTAGGGCTTGTGATGGCACTGTGGAGACAGAGACATGCGGAGAGGAGAGGAAGAATTCTGACGACGCGCAGTTAATCAGACGGGGTCGGACAGCGCAGGCATAAACTTTGTCAGCGAGTTGGTGAGGGACGTCATCTCACCACTGACTTTACGCAGTAATGCGTTTTCAGCTAAACTGAAGGTGGTGATGACGCTTCGTTTCTTTGCCACGGGACAAACGCAACAATGCTGATGATTTTGGCCGTCACAACCATCAATAAGCTGAATAGTCATGGAAACAATTCAAGCACTTACAGCTCCACACACTGTCACGTGCTTGATCGACTTCCCAACAACACAGTAAGACAGACTGATTTAGTCCTACACTTCACTCTGATTAGGACTATGAAGCTTGATAACTAACTTTTAAGCACAGCTTTGAGCCAAGAATTTTTTTACTCTTAAGTCAGTTCTTAGCAGTGTTCTTATGAGTAATTCTGAGAAGCCTGATAAATAAGGGCCCAGGTTCTTTAAATGAACAGTCTGTAAACTACCTGGTATTGTCGTTGCCATTGTTTGCAAGGGAATCTCCAATTCGTATCTCAGCTCCATCGAGTCGTTCTGGGTTTGAATCTATGTTAGTTATCTTAACAGAAAACACTTTATGGGTTTTGCGCAGATCCAGTCGCCACCAGGGGCTGATGTCGTTGTTAGTGTGACTGCAGGAGCTGTCTTCCCACTTGCTGCTTGGATTCCCATCTATGGCATTATTTGCAGCGCCCATGGAATACAATGAAGACTGTATGGCTTTTCCTTGGAGTGCCAGGTTCTCTCCTGCAAGAAGAACACAGTTACACAAATGACCATTGACATATGGACGCCTTTGCGTTTATTATTAAAAACAACCGCAACAAATTGTAGGTTTTATTAAATGCACTTCATGTATGACTTCTGATATTTCATTTTTTTTAAATGTGATTTTGTTCGCAGCCATATGCAGGTTAAAGGCAGAATGAACCACCATTTTTGATACACTTCTTACCAAAGTTTCTTTGGTGCAGATGGCTTGAAAGTGCATTCATTTCATAACATAAATATGTATCACATGTTTAGAATTAGAAAATTACTGAATTTTGTTCAAATTTATTTATGTAATAGGTCAAATTCTCACCAGTTGGGGCACGGTACCCATAGACTTCCACTTCGCATACTGTAAGGATCTTTCCTGAACCACGTAGAGATAAAGTGACATAACGTCCCTCCACACGATCAGTGAAAGGCAGACTGAACGATTCGGCTGCACTCATTTCAGTAATTGTACCAACCCTAACAGAGAGAGAGAGAGCAGCACACAAATCACATTTTATACAGGCAGGGTTAAGTTAAAAAAACAGGCTTGATGAGACATGATGATGGTTTGATTCTTAAAAGGTACAATATGTAATTCATGGCCACATGCTCAAACAAATTGGGGGCAGTGTTGTGCAAGAATTTACTCATTTAATTGATGCTTCAATCCAAGGCAATTTACAACTGCTATATATGTCATATTTTTTAGCTTTGTCATTGGGAAGATAAATGCTTAAATAAACATGAAGAACATAATGTTCTTCTAACCATTATACTCCAAACAAACCTCATTTAACTATAATAAAGTAATTGTAGGATACACTATGTTGAGAAAAGATGGTGGAAATGTGGTGAGATTTCAAATCTGCACACTTAAGCAAATGTTACAGATTATTATTACGTGTTTAAATGTGTATTGAACAGTTCATTAGTGACTACCCTTTCACCACTACAGTTTAATGTGTGCAGCTGTATGCTCAATTATTTGTAAACTATTTTCAAAAGATGTTAGAGAGAGGGACCAAGAGAGGGAGGCGGCCCACACTGCTAATATATTGGGCCCAGAAGTTTGTGCGACTCCGCTGGGCCTAAGCAATGGTTACCAACATCGTTTGGACAGTGAAGTTGAAGTGATATGTGAAGCTATTGCAAAGATATCCTCCAGACAAACAAATGTAGGGGTCTTGTCACTAAAGAACGTTATGGAGAAATTAAAATGTCTTCTTTTTGGTAGATACAATTTTTAATGAATAAGTACAGAAGTCAAAACAAAGTAGGATGTACAGGATGTACTGATTATTCTGCAAATATGAATTTCAAATTGAGTTTCACTTTAAACTGACTTTGAAAACTTAATGTGATTCAATAACAACCTTTCCTGCTTCCACTGCACCCTTTAGCAAGACAGAAAGACTTAATCTGGGCTTTTGAGATTCATAGGTGAAGTGAACAAGATGCTCAAACATACTACTAATTATAAAGGCAAAATAAAAATAAAAACAATTTCATATTCACCCACAATTTGTTTCCTAAGCCATTGTCTTGTAAAGAGTTGCCTATGTGGATCTGCAGCCCATTGATCCTGTGTTCACAGCAGTCTCCTCTGTTGGTGATGGTGATGGAGGTGACGACATAGGATTCTAGCAGGTCCACTCTCCACCAGGGGTTGGTCTGTATAGCAGTGTGGGTGCATGATCCATATTCGGCGTTAGATTCACGGTTTCCATCAATAGCATTCAGGGCAGCCCCAAACATGTGATCATAACGGTTTGACTGGGTTGCTTTTCCACGCAAGGCCACATTTTCTGTGAAGGAGACAGTTGAAATACACATAAAAGACATAGTGTAGATTGTTGACCTTAAATCAGTGTCTCAACTAATAATTTTACTTTGGTCCCAAGTGCACTGCCAATAGACTAAACACAAAGTACAGACAACACAACCAGTTCAGTAATGCTGCTGGTCAGAAAAAAAACTAACTAAGTTGCAAAAGGTAATTTCCATTATAAGCATTTGATGAGCATTGTGCTGGCATGCGAGTTGTTGCCATGATTGTGGTTCATTGAGCTAATGACATGAGATATAGGCCACATGTTTGAACACTGAACATTATACAATTGTTAGTCTGCTAATACAGTTTTGAGACATTTGGAGATTTCAGACTAGCTATTGCAGCAGCAAAACATAAAAAATATATTTAACGTGAGTCATATGCATTTATTGCTAGAGTTGTAAAGGTTTTGAAACGTTTATTTTACTGTATATGTCATTAAACAGCTAAACGTTATTCAGAAATTAAGGCATCATACTTTCTCTCAGATTATACTTACCATACGTGGAGCATGTCCCCAGGAGGAGTAGCACAAGGAAAACAATGAGTTCTGGTTAAGAAAAATGAAGGTTATTTGTAGACACAAAACTTTACACTTCTTGTAAGAAATGTATGGTATTAGAATTGTGAAAGAGGGATTATAGCAGTTATTTTGATTGCAGATTCAGACAGAATTGAGAAGGGTCAAAATGAGCAGAAAATTAGACCATGTTGGAATAAATGACACTGTGGTTTGGAAGTCTGAAAGCTAGTTATAGTTTCGGTGTGAGAGAATCTGTGCCATTGTCATTTAAATACGGCAAACACAAGACAAGCCCCTGAAAACGTGGTAAAACTTGGCGTCAAATCATAAATTTTTCTCTATAACCAGTGCTTCAAGTGGAAAAGAATTGGTGCCTGTACTCTCCATTAACATGTTGGCTTGTGTGTCAGCAGGCAAGGGAAATACAAAATGGCAGGTGACAATTCAAAATATATAAATGTAATGGAATATAATGCAGTAATCAGCAGCTTGTGTTTTTTTTTTTTACTTTTTTTGGACAATTAGTGGAGTGCTTTCTTGAAGACTCTCCTGGCTTCTAGGAACCGGTGTGTGTAGGCGTTCCCAGTGGGGGTGAGGTCACATGAACACTTCAGGTTTAAAACCCAGGATCAGAGTTAAGAGTAAGAAGTTCAGTTAATGTTTATACAATTACACTTCAACTACTTATCAACTGAGAGTAAAATATAATGGATTTGACTCTATTCAGAGTATAATAATCTCTGCTATTACTTATATTTCATGTCATGTTTCTTTATCTGCTCTGTAAAGCGACTTTGAGTTCATGAAAAGCGCTATACAAATTCAATTTATTATTATTGTTATTATTATTATTATTTAACTCAATTTAACTTTCCCAATTTGCTGCGTATGTATTATTTATTAACAGTTTAAAACTCCAAAACTCAGTAACATATTTGACTAACATAAGAAAACAAGCATGCAACTCAAATTTTGATTCAAATGCTGTTAAATCCTGATTGGTGCACAAAAGTACTTGTAATTGCCAAGTATTCAAACCAATTTATTTTTTTAATTAATAGTGAAAAGTATGTTAACAGAGCAGGGTGCACAGAAATCACTCCTGAGATGATCTGATGTACCAGTGAAATTAAATGTGTTACCTGGTGACCCCGACATGGCAAGAGCTTTCTGATGATTCAACAACAAAAAAAACTGCCAAACCCGTAAAAAAGACTCAACCATTTCTGTGCTCTTTATATCCATCTTGTTCTTCACCTCTACATCAGTTGAACCAATCAGAACACCATCAGAAACCAGATCATATTCATCTTCAACATCATCCAATCACATCCCAATGGTTTACTCCCACTCACATGTATTTCACTTCCCTACTCATGAATTAAGTTTCAGAGGTTATCACAGTACATGCCGACAATTATGCCAAAGATCACACAATAGTCCTCAATTTCTTACCAATAATATTGGTTCAAATGTGAACTGTATGCATCGACTTTGATAAATAAATAAATAAATAAATAATAATATTAGTCTTATACCGACTAAGTAGCAGCGGTGGAATGTAACTAAGTATCCTAAGTATAACTAAGTATATTTACTCAAATACTGCACTAAAGTTACAATTTTGAGTTACTTGTACTTTACTTGAGTATTTCCATTTTAACATGATCAGCTTATAAAGTATGGTACATTATTATACATTATTATCCAACACGGTATAATGTAGAAAAAAATTGCTCCGCCTTAACCAGTTGTGATATATTATAATAGTGCTTATTTGTCAAAGCATCAATAATAATATTCCATGATATTTAAAAGAATATAACACTTCAGCCTTCCTCTTTGTGCTTTTGACCTTTTCAAAGTAAGTGTGCAGTCGTTGGTGCAAATTGTGGCCGCTAGTATTGAAGTACACCCCTGTATAGCCAATGACCCCTGATTAAATTTTATCCCATGGAAAGTTACCAATATGCCAAATAGGCAGAAAAGAATGAAAACAACAGTAAACGTTAATGATGAAAATGCTTAGTTGCAGATTTTTACTTTGCGCAATGTTCCCTTTTCCTGGAATTGGATTATTGCTGTAACATGCTTCACCGCACCCCGACCTCCAGCTGTTGCTTCAGTGCAACTTCCTAGTGCAAGTTAGTCATGTGGTACATTTCGAGCCCAGGCTAATTAAAAAAACATGATTTTATGGGGTGTTATGCGCTGGACTATAACTTGGCTGAGTGTAGTAGCTAGTCTCCGCTGGTTGCTTTGCAACTTCACAAGATAATAATAATAATAATAATAATAATCTTTATTTGTAGACCACTTTTCAAAAACAAGTTACAAAGTGCTTTAAGAAGTGTAAAGACAATAATACCCCCAAAACAATAATACAAAAACAGTACAAGATAAAAGCAAGAAAACAATGAAAAGACTAAACAACACGTTTAGGATAAATATAAAATATGTAAAATAGAATAAAATAAAAGGGATAAAATAAAGTCAATAAGATCGGGAAAGGCTCTCCTATAAAAGTATGTTTTAAGAAGGGACTCAGCCAACCTGATTTCCTCGGGCAGGCTGTTCCAGAGCCTCGGGGCCCTGACAGCAAACGCTCGGTCCCCTTTAGTTTTCATTCTTGTGGGGATTTTTGTGGTGGTTCTCATTGTTTTTTTGTCTTACTACTTAGTCCTGCATTCTAGCTCTATGTCTTAGTTCCTAGTTCTGTGTCTTAGTTCATATCTTAGTGTTACTCCTGGTCTGTGTACTTCCGTATTGGTTGTTATTTTTGCCCATGTCTGCTCTGTGTTCTGTTATTAGTTCAGTCTGTTCCTCAGCTATGCCCTCAGCTATCAAGCTCCTCTCCTGTGGAACCAGGTTCCAGTTTGGGTTCAGGAGGCAGACACCATCTCCACATTTAGGAGTAGGCTTAAGACTTTCCTCTTTGATAAAGCTTATAGTTAGGGCTGGCTCAGGTGAGTCCTGAACCATCCCTTAGTTATGCTGCTATAGGCCTAGACTGCCGGGGGATTTCCCATGATGCACTGAGCTCCTCTCTCCTCTTCTTTCTCTCCCTCTGTATGCAACCTTATCCCATTATTGCATGTTACTAACACAACTTCTCCCCTTTCTGGTAGTCTTGTGCTTTCTCGTCCCTCTCCTCTCTCCTCCTATCACTTCCTGCAGGTGTTTCTGGCTCTGGAGCTGTGGAGTCTGGATCTGTGGTTGCGGGTCACCTGCTGCCCCCGTGTTCCTGCTCGACACCCTCTGCTACAATTATTGATACTAGTCCTGTTGTTATTATTGTTATTATAATCATTAACATTACGACTGTTACACTACTATAAATATCTGTACCATTTTTCATTTAGTCTATAGCAACATCACTTTTACTGTCTGTACCTCTGTGTGTGTATATTGTGTAGGCTGCCTCCCTCCCCTCTCTCTCCTTCCATCCCTCTCTTTTTCTCTCTGTTCCTCTCCTGCCCTCTCTCTCTCTCCCTCTCTCTCTCTCTCTCTCCCTCTCTCTCCTTCACCCCAACTGGTCGAGGAAGATGGCCGCCCACCCTGAGCCATGGTTCTGCTCAAGGTTTCTGCCTCTTAAAAGGAAGTTTTTCCTTGCCTCTGTCACCTAGTGCTTGCTCTTGGTGGGAACTGTTGTGCTTCTGTAAATAGCATCATAGAGTACGGTCTAGACCTGCTCTTTTATGAAAAGCGCTGTGAGATAACTGTTGTTGTGATTTGGCGCTATATAAATAAAATTGAATTGAATTGAATTGTTCTCCATGTAGTCTGTCAGTATGATTAAGTTTAAGTCTGTTGTATGTTTCTTCCCTTGCGTTAGTTGCCTGTGCCTCTGTTTGGATCTGTGCCGGCCTGAGTTCTTGTCTTATTCTGTTTCTATATGGTATTCTCTCTGTCTGCCTATCTCGTTAGCCCTGATCCCTGTGCTGCTCCCACCCTGCTCGTTAGTCCCTGGTGTATATATGTTTGGTGTTTCTAGTCAGTCCTTGTCCGGTCATTGTTGTGATGTGTCCCTGTGGTGTCCGAACAATAATGCTGCGATGATGTGTTGAGAAGAAATCTGCTTGACACTGTTCTTGATCATAAAAGTTTATTACATCAAGGAGTTCAGCATCAATTACAAGCTCTGCAGTCGGCAGCTGTTTGCACTTGTTTCGTCACGACTGTGGCAGCTGAATTGGCGTGAAGCTTTCGCTTCTGAAATCCATGTTAAGACTTTTAGACGGCTGCTTTACTGAACCTGGACTGTGTGTGAGACCATTTGCAACGAAGAACACAGAACATAAATTAACGTTCTTCTGAGCTATCCTGTCGGCATGTTGGCAGATTTAAATTTGAAGTTAAGCTGCTGTGCCTTGTGCGTAAATGAGTGGCTCTCTTCATAGGTAGATGCTTTACACTATTTCACCCACCTGAAAATTCACATAACGACATAAGAGTTTTTCAAGTTGAAATGAGGGTTGGGACAGTGTAATCAGCTGTGTCCACATGGTCCTAAAACCTTAATTTAAGTTATATTATGTTATCAGGGGTTTTTCATTAGACATTTTTTATTGACAGGCTATAGTCTACATATAAATAAGTCTGGACCTTGGTGACCTCATAGCTGGTGACGGCCATGGTTGGTAGGCTGATTTTGTTACCTTTGTAGAAAGCCAGGCTCGCTGTTTCCCCTTGTTTCATGATCTATGACTATAGCTTCAAATTTAAAGGAATAGTAATTGACTTTAATCCAGTAAACCTTTTTTTAAATTCAGTGAATATTTCCTCACTAATTGTCAAACCAACAGCACACGCTAATACTGCTCAGCCAGCAGTAAACATGCTGGCAGGTTAGAAAAGTGGAAATAGTGGAATATATTTTGAATCGTTTTTAATTCAATGCTATTTCATTTATACAGTTAGACAGAATTATCTCATTGCACTTTTCATGTAGAGCAGGTCTAGACCATAGTCTTTGTAATATTAACAACAATAAAACAACAATTACCACAAAGAGCGAGCTCTTGGCGACAATGTCAAGGAAAACTCCCTTGAGCAGAACAGTTAAAGCAGTTAGTTATACAACTAGTTATAACAAGTAACAAGTTATCACTCAATTGTGGTGATCAATTTGTGCGATTAAACTTTAAATGTTTCTTTAAAGAAAAGGTTTTGATCCAGACCAATAACGACAAAATGAAAAGGACAATAGGCTGTTTTAATGACAAGACTCTAAGTAGTGCGGTTGAAAAACACACAATGAAACAAAAGTCAGGTGTCCATAGCATGTGCACTACTTCTTGCTAAAAATCCCACAATGCAATCTCTGTCATACTAGGAGATAATGAATTCAAGAGGAAGTAATTTAGACACAAATTATGCCACTTGTTACTACATGTTTTTTTTTTCTGACTACATTGAAAATTGTTCCAGTTACTATGAGTACATATAAGAGCAAAATGTCGCTGTTATTCATTTTGAACTTTGTCTGGCCTAATCCAGTCTGGAGCCGTACACTTCCACCTCACACAGAGTCAGGAACTCCTCTCTTTCTGGAATGACAATGTTAACATAGCGACCGTCCATCCCGTTACACTGGAATTCAGCAACACCGCCTGCCGGGATACTTGTGATCACAGCACACCTGGCAGAAGAAGCAGAAATCACTTTAGTTAAATCCAATAAAGGATGGTCTCTGTTGCTTTAACAAAGGGTATGAAGCAGTAATGAATACTTTTAAAAAGTAAAACCATATAAATTAGATAAAATGATAAAGTATGTTGTATACTATTGTCCAGAAGATCTAAACTCAGTTAAACTCCTAAAGTCAGTTAAAAGCAATGATGTACAGTTTTAATACAGAATGTGAACAATATTTTTTTTCAGAGTTTAGGTGCCATGACAGCAAAGTCACCCTTGGTTGCAAACATTGGAATACAAGAAGAGCGTTTTCTGCCAACCTAATTGTGAAGCCTTGACCGCAGTAGGTCAGAAATATAGCTTGGAGCTAAGCCGTTAATGCTTTGTAAGTGATTGGTAAGTAATGGCCTCAAGCGTTTTTGTGATACAAGATGTTTTGAACATGTTTTTCTTAAATATGCAGTAATTTATTTTTGACTACATGGCACAACAATCAGGAAATTCAACATATCGCCTAAATATTATCACCTTATAAAGTTATAAACATGCTAGCAAACATTTTTCTTTTCATTGATTTTGAGTTGTGTTTATGGCCACCCAATGACGCTCTGTTTCAGTCTCCACCAACTCCGATATCTGCCTATAGCTGCTAAACTAGGGTTGTCCCTGAAAGTGTTGGAGCCCTAGGCGAGATTTTATATTGGCGCCCCACGACCCCGATATTGCTTGGCTGAAATAGTCACAACGTCTTGCAGACACAGAACTGGTTGAGACAAGCAGGAAGAAATCGTAACTAAATGAAAACACTTGGGATCAGGCAGAAATCTCACCTCAAATCCACACAAATGTTAACATCAGCACCTCCGACAAACGGCAGCTCACAGTCCCAAACAGATCAAGTTTGCACCTCAGTTATTACATTTTTATGTTGCAAAACTACCAGCTACATTATCACTATGGCACAATCTGGCTGCGACTCACAGCTGCTCACAGCGTGGGGTGCACTTGGTTACCATCATTGCGTACGCTGGTGTCGCATCAGTGGGCAGAGTTGATTCACGCCGAGTTGAAAACTTTCTCTTGCGGCTCCCCCTTGACAATTTGCGTTCTAGGCAACTGCCTAAGTCGCCTATGCCACGGGCCGGCCCTGTGCTAAACGCTCCACTGTGTTAACCAGCTAGTCACTAACTTGTCTGTCTGCTGTTTGGTGCTGGGCAGGTAGCATACAACGTGTTTATCAGAGGAGTTTTTTGACTGACAAAAGCTGTCACTGCGCTGTAAGAGCAGTGAGATAAAAATAGATAAGTTGCAGGACGTAACGAATGTTAGAATGCTAACAAAGTACTGCTAAAAATGATAGGAATGACATTAGTTTGCTGGTATTTGGTCATAAAGTATTGGCCTAATTGAAATTATTACAATTCATCCTGAGTGGAAAGTGAACTTTTGATCTGTAAAACGTTTCACATAATATTTCAATCTGGACCAAAGCAGTGGACCAACCACTAAAATGGTTTAAAATATTTATAAGAGCAGCTGTAAAAGAGGTTGTGCTGAATTACAGCACAAATGTATTAATAGATGTAAATAAAAAAAACAGGTTCTTTAAATTAACAGTCTGTAAACTACCTGGTATTGTCGTTGCCATTGTTTGCAAGGGAATCTCCAATTCGTATCTCAGCTCCATCGAGTCGTTCTGGGTTTGAATCTATGTTAGTTATCTTAACAGAAAACACTTTATGGGTTTTGCGCAGATCCAGTCGCCACCAGGGGCTGATGTCGTTGTTAGTGTGACTGCAGGAGCTGTCTTCCCACTTGCTGCTTGGATTCCCATCTATGGCATTATTTGCAGCGCCCATGGAATACAATGAAGACTGTATGGCTTTTCCTTGGAGTGCCAGGTTCTCTCCTGCAAGAAGAACACAGTTACACAAATGACCATTGACATATGGACGCCTTTGCGTTTATTATTAAAAACAACTGCAACAAATTGTAGGTTTTATTAAATGCACTTCATGTATGACTTCTGATATGTCATTTGAACAAAATGCTGATTTTTCTTGTAATGTTAAATTTAATTTCTCCTGTGACTCATTGAGAAAATGTGATTTCATTCACAGTCATAATGTGGGATGCAGGATAAGTATAACTAACCACCACTTATAAAACACTTCTTACCAAAGTTTCTTCAATACAAATAACTTGAAAGTGCATTCACTTCATAACATAAAAAATGTATCATATGTTTCTGTGTTTAGGTTATACCACAGTGTAGATGAAAATTACTGCATATTGTTTAGATGTATTCATGCAATAGGTAAATTTCTCACCAGTTGGGGCACGGTACCCATAGACTTCCACTTCACAGAGTGTAAGGTACTTTCCCGAACCAGGTAGAACCAAAGTCACATAACGTCCCTCCACACGATCAGAGAAAGGTAGACTGAACGATTCAGCTGCGCCAATTTTAGCAATTGTACCAACCCTAACAGAGAGAGAGAGAGAAAGAAAGAAGCACACAAATCACATTTTATACAGGCAGCGTTAAGGGAACACTGGTAACGTGAAGATTAAAGAAACAGGCTTATTGAGACAGGTTGAAGGTTTGATTCTTTAAAGGTCCAATGTGTAATTTCTGCCCACATGCAAAAATAAATTTGAGGCACTGTTGTGCAAGAATTGCATCATTTCTAATCACAGTGATTGCACTGTTCAAGATTATGTATTATTTAAACAGTTAGTGTATTAAACCTTGCAATGTTAAACCTCAAAAATGTTTTGAGAACTGTCCAAACTTCCAATCTTGCCTCATCTTGTGATGCCAAGTGGTTACAACATGGTGAACTAATGGACATTTTTTCATTTGGTCTAATACTGGTTCCTTACAATCTGTCTAACTGGGGGCTGTAAATTACCTTCAACTTAGTCTTGCATAGTCAGACTTATCTCCAAAGTGTTCAGCTTAACAAACCCTAGGGGCAGCTCTACTTCTCCATCGTTTTATGTTGAACTGAGAGCAGACTGGACGCTACATTGCCTCACTATCGTCTCTTGTGACACAAGTGGTATTACAACACGGGGCAGTAGTACAACAAGGGGGTGTTGATGGAGCAGTGGATAAGATGCGTGCCTTTGGTGTGAGAGACCTGGGTTCAGTTCCCAATTAAGTCCGTGAGGAAGACACTTAACCCCTAGTTGCTCCAGAGGCATGCAACATCTGAAATTTATAGCAATTCTAAGTTGCTTTTGATAAAGCGTCAGCCAAATTAATGTAACAACACAGGACAGGCAGTACCTTACTTATTAGCATGCTAACTTCAGTAGATATCTCTGCAACACAATACAAGGAAGTTTTTGACATAACATTGGAGCTGTAACATCTTCACATTCTATTGAAAATGTTCGGGTTTTTTATGAAATAAACTAAAATTCTGGCCAAATCTTGTACACATTGTACCTTTAAAATCAAACTGAAAATCCGGGTTCTCCTCAATTTGTGTATAGTTTAAAAAATTTTTATTTAATTTTTGGACATATTTGTGCAAACAGTATCAAGTAAGTTTCAAGCCTATCGGTGGGTGGTTCCCTAACAACGGCTGACTGACATTTACGGAGTGCTGATGGGCCTAAGCTATGGTTACCACCGTCGGCTCTGTGGGCTGGCTAACTGCATGTGTTGTGATATATAAAACAATTTTTAGTGCCCACACACACAGATTTTGCACCGATCAATTATTCACGTCAGCAGCAACCTTTCCTGTTTCAACTGCACCCTTTAGCAGGAGAATCAGAGGTGGAAATGGGCAAGGCGCTCATTCAAACCTATGAACTAAACTTAATTAATTAGGCAAAATTAAAGTAACAATGTTTTCTTATTCACTCACAACGGGTTTTTTAAGCCTTTGTCTATTATAGAGTTGCCTATGCGGATCTGCAGCCCATCGATCCTGTGTTCACAGCAGTCTCCTCTGTTGGTGATGGTGATGGAGGTGACAATGTAGGACTCCAGGAGGTCGACTCTCCACCAGGGGTTGGTCTCTTCAGCAGTGTGGGTACATGATCCATGATCGAAGACAGATTCACGGTTTCCATCAATAGCATTATAGGCAGCACCAAACGCGTGCAAATAGCGTTTTGACTGGGTCGCTTTTCCACGCAAGGCCACATTTTCTATGGAGAAGACAGTTGAAATACATAATATAACACATATAAAGGCAGATTGTTTGTGAATTGTTGAGCTCAAATCAGTGCCTCAACTGATTATTTTACTGTGGTCCTGAGAGCTAACTGCACTGTAACTAAAGAAAGCACATTCAAATCGACAAAACACAAAGTGCAGAAAACAATCAGAAATGCTGCTGCTGAGAAGAAAATAAAATAAGTCGCAAAAGGTAATTTCCAGCGGACAGTAAATACAATTGATGAACAATGCATGGGCGTGCAAGTCGTTGCAATGATTGTAGGTCACATGCATGAACACTGAACAATATGTACATTGTGTACACTATATGTAAAGCAAATATCTACCAAAATATCTGAATCATGCAATCAGAATGTTAAAAGTGAAATAAACTTAAACCATTAAAGTTAATTTTCCTAAACACCTTTGATTAAAGTGTGTCTCAAGGCCACCACAGTAAGTAAACGTTTTACTCGTTACAATAATCCCACAGGAAGATTTTGCAGACAAGTTTTCAGAAAAGGGGAAGTTAGTCTGCTGATACTGTGTAACTATAATACTACATATGAATTGGGTTAGGCGTTAGGATTGATAGACAAATGTTATTCAGAGTTCACACGTGTGCTCAGATGATACTTACCATACAAGGCTGAACACATCTCCATGAGGAGCAGCCCAAGGAACACTCTGAGTTTCATCATTCTGGTTGAGACAGATGAGATTTATTAATGGACCAATTTAAATATGGCAAAAACAATTTAAGCCCCTGAAAACTTGGTGTAAAAACACTTCAAACCAGTGAAAATAGCTCACACAAAAACATAAAAATAGAAATGACAAACAAAGCCCTCTTATTTACACATTTGCACAAAATCACACATTGATGGCCTACCCATCAGAAATTTGCTGGGTTACAATAAAATAATTTAGGTATGTTGGTGGAACTGAATTGTGTTTTGTTGTTTTTCTGTTACCCTCAAACACATTGAAAAATAGAAAAACTATTTTTAGGGCTCACAAAAACTGTATTAAAATTACTCAAACTTGATTATTTAAATTTATTATTAAATTCCTACTCAAAGTTTAAAAAATGGATGATTCAGACTTAGTAATCGAGCCTAGATGGAATTGATCATATCAGTCACCAATTGGATATATAGTAAGTGTTTGATTTGATAAGTGGAAAAAGTTTCCTGGGTAGCTTCAATGTCAAGGAGCAATTCTTTTCAATTTCAATAATCCAATTTAAGCAACCTGATTTTTTGACCTGACTTGATTTTTAGATCAGATTTTAACAAATTGTAGTTGACCACCTTAAATAGTTTTATAGTTTCCAGTATTGGATAATTTTAGTTTCTATCTGATCTGAATTTCTGAACTTGAAAAACAATCTTAAAATCAAGTTTTCTAATTTGCATTAAATGAAATGACCTGCTCTAGGCAAATTTGAAAAAGAAGTTCAATGATAGAAAATCAGTTTGATTTCAGCATTAAGTATTCAGTAAAGGTTATATTTCAAAATTAGGATTACGATTCAAATTATTAGAATATTATTATTTGCTTCCTTGTGCAGCAGAGGGACATACAGTATCTACATGCTATATCAGAAATCTTTTGCAAAGTTACATATGCTCAGGCAGTGAAAAGCAGGTTAAGAGAGCAGGATACACAGAAACTGATCTACTGAAATTATCTGATGCAGCAAAAGAAACAAAATGTGTTACCCCACAGAGCTTTCTTCTGATGATTTAAGAAAAAAGAAAAAATCTTCCAAACCCCTAAAAACTAAACCATTTCTGTGCTCTTTATATGCATCTCGTTCTTCACTTCAACATCAGTTGAACCAATCATCAGAAATCAGATCATATTCATCTTCAACATCATCCAATCACTTTAGGTTCACTCCCATACACAGAGGTTCAGAGGCTACCAAAGTACATGCCGACAAGTATGCCAAAGATCACACAATACTCACAAATTTCTTACCGATAATGCTGGCTCAAGACTCCACTGGTAGCGTAGATAGACTTTGATCACAATCAGAATCAGAAAGAGCTTTATTGCCAAGTAGTGTTTTACACATAAGAGGAATTTGCTTTAGTGATAAGGTGGCACACGTAAACAAACATGCAGCTGACATAAATAAATGTAGAAATATGGAAATATGGAATAGACAATGCAACTTAACATAAGAATAATAAAGAATGGAGAAAAATAATACAACTATTTGCAGAGAAAGAACAAAGTCGCAGATATTTACATGTGCAGATGTATTGCAACTGAAGAGAATATTGTGTAGATAAATATATAAATTGACAATATAAAAATATACAACAACAAAGATTAACAATTAGCAACACAAATGTGCAAAGTACATTCACTTAAATAATGTACGAAAGTACAATTTTATGTACTTTTACTTTACCTGGGTATTTCTATTTTCTGCTACTTTATACTTATAGTACTCATACTATTTGTCTGAAAAGTATAATTACATGATGACCTGAGTTGTAACCAACCACTTCAGTTCAGACAAGCACAGATGTTTGATTTAACTGCGTAATTTCAAACACACGTGTATCATACAGTAAAGATGTCTGTGTGATTTTGGAAGGGTCGTAACCAACATGTGAGAGAAAACAGTGTAAGCCTTTCTCTATATTCCTTTGACCTGGTTGAAGCAAGTGTGCAGTGTGCACATTGTGGGCATCCCTGACAGTAAAATTGAGGTGCACTCACGTATAGACTATGACCCCTGAATATAACAAAAAATAATGACGGCAACCGTTAATGCTAAAAATGCTTAGTTGCAGATTTCTACTTTGCGCAATGTTCCCTATCCCTGGAACTTCTCTCATTCATGTGTGCATCACTTAAATTTTTAGGTGTTTCAACATTTCAACTGCTCCTTTTACTTCTCTATTTTGCGCTCTGAAAACACACAAACGCATCCAATCTTCTCCAATTTATTTGTATTTTGGCGGGGGACGCAGTGCCTCACTTTCTTCTCTTGTGACACAAGTGGTATTACAACACAGGGGTGGTGATGGAGCAGTGGATAAGTGCAGTGGATCAGACACATACCTTTGATGCGAGAGACCCGGCTTCAATTCCCCACTGTGATACATCCACCAATGTGCCACTGAGCAAGACACTTAACCCCTAGTTGCGCCACAGATGTGCGACCTCTGTCATATATAGCAATTCGCTTTGGATAACAGCATCAGCTAAATTAATAAATTTAAATGTTTTAAAATTTAATTTAATGTAATCTCTAACTTTGAATATTAACGTGTTGTGAAATTTAATATGTGCTTATTGAGATTATGGCCCATAATACAAAAATATGTTTGTCATCAGTTTAACCCATGACTAGGTCCATTTGACTAGTAAGAGTCAGCTGAAAGGAATATTCTCCATCAGAACTACTTGTCAAAAGTTGTGAATGTTGTACAAACAAATTCCTTTGTAGTTAAAGCCGGTCTTTAGACATTTTGGTAGCTATGCAGATTTGCTTACTTGTCAAGTTAGATGAGGAGATACGACTTGACATGTCTCTGTGTTAAGTAGTATACAACAGCGAGGAGGCCCTTTGCTTAGTCTTCTATGATTCAAACATATTTCATAACAGAAATATTAGAAACAACAACAGCAGAAGAAGCTTAGTAGATAATACCTTTTACAAACTGTTCCATGAGGGATGAGTAATAGGGCTTAAATGGAAACAAAAGCTTGGCAGGCCATTTTTATACTTTCAATTTATTTCAGCAAAGGTGATTTAATATTCATCTGCAAGCAAGAAATGCTCAGTATTAGACATGTAAATCTTCAACTCAGTCAAAAAAACAACTCAGTAAAATAAAGTATCATCCAAACAAATACAAATGTTTGTTCAAAATCATACATATACATTCACAACATCATTGTCCCTGTCACCATGTTTTAAATGAAATCTATGTATAAAGTGGTTTATTTAAAAAATAACTATAATTGAATTATCATGAATTCATGCATTAATTCTTGCATGATTCATGCATTACTTCATGCATTAATATATCATAAATCATCAGGAACTAGCAGGAGTTCACAGTCTTTCATTCATGACTTCATGGATGAACAACACATTAATTAAAACATTAACTAAGATGAGTACATGATCATGAATTATGATTTATTAATCATAATCATGATGTTTTCTTTGTTCGTGAAAAAAAACTGGTCTTAAATATCCATTGTGGGTACAGTTAAAAATTATAGTACAGGAGTCATTGTGAATTCCTGCAGGATAAAGCATGAATTCATGCATGTAACACTTAAATTATTAAAAGAATCCACATTACCTTGAAGAGTATATCAATTAAAGTGAGATTTGTGTCTCATATATATCATGATCTCTGAGTTAATAAGCATGTTCATGTCTAGTAGCCTGCAGGTAAACTGGCAGACCCCAAAAGTGGAAAATCACAACACATAGCACTGCTTTTCTGTTGGCATCCAAACACCTTGGTCATCATTAACTAAGCATTACCTTCCCATGACTTCATCGTGCTTGTGGCCCCTAAACTAAAGTGGTGAATTGTTCCTTTTGAAACACTGATGAACAATGTGTTATTAATGATAGCATAATCCTGAAATTACATGAATATGAACATCAAAGTTCAAACGTATACACACAATGTACTGTAGACACAAAATTACTTTGATAATCTTTGCTTTATTTATTCTTAAAACAGTACAAGGCAGTGAAATCAACAGCAAAACACATGGCTGCATAAACACATGGCAGTACATAGCACATCCAAACTACCTGCTTAGTTTTTATAAATATCTAGTAAGGATCCATCATCCTTTTTCTTTAGGATAACTGAAACTGTCGTCTCCTGCTCACAAAAAACCCTGCATGTTTCGGCAAACCTTTTCAGGCTGTCCTTTCTTTTAAAGGTTGACCTCAAGGTATTGAACATATCTGGGTTAGCCACTGCAAGTTCCGCAATTGGAGCCTGAGACACAATGGTATTCTGATCAACCCCAAGCCTTGCATAAGCCTCGGCTTTGCTGATGCGTTCCTTTTTAATCTTTTCCAACACCATGTTGTAGCGGAGGATGGAGTCATCAGGGGTTTTTACTGTAATACAAGAGAAAGTGTTAAAGGTTTAATCCAATGAAATCAAACAGCCTAGTAATAGTGCTCTAATACAGTTACATACAATTTTACTATTGCTTAATCATCAAACAAATATAAACAAAATACCATAGACCTGCAGCAGTTGTAACACATTTTTCTTTTTACAGGTCTCTGTTCTAACTTGGTTTACACAAAACAACAGACTTGAAATTTGGGTACAAAGGAGCCATACAACTCGTCTTAGGAGAGGGATCACCGCTGCAGTAATGGTGATTTGGTTTTCTTCTGAGATTCACCAAATAAATCAATATTAGGAGCAATCCCAAACCATTTAGCTGGGAGTGGAAATTAAATAATCTGCATTTTCTTTGGCAATTTGCTCTGTCAGAAATAAGAACATGTGATGTACCGTGGAATTGACCAGAGCAAAAAGTGTCGGTGTTAACATTCATTATAGACATACTGCCCAATTGGTGATGGTACAGTGGATAAGACACATGCACACTTTGGTGTGAGAGACCTGGGTTCAATCCCCCACTGTTAACCATCCACCATTGTGTCCCTGAGCAAGACACTTAACCCCTAGTTGCTCCAGAGGCGTGCGACCTCTGATGTATATAGCAATATGTAAGTCGCTTTGGATAAAAGTGTCAGCTAAATTAATAAATGTAATGTTAAAGTAACAACTGTATATTTGTGTACACATCACTGCATACTGTACCTCTTAGTATCTTGTGCATTTTCTTGGCCTTTTTGGGCTGGGACTTTAACTTCTTCTTGACCTTCTTGGCCTCAGAGGAATCAGAATCAGGCTCAGAATCTGATGACTCAGACGATGAGGAATCTGTTGTATCTGACTCCTGTTTCCTCTTTCCAGGTGCCTGCCGTACAGCTGGTGTAGTAATGGCCACATCTCCCCCTTGTCACTTCTTACTGCAAGAGCTGTGAAAATCAGTCAGATCAAACAGTATAGGAATTATTGACAATGATTATATCTGGCAATGATGTTTTGACAATCAATATTATTAAAGCTGTAATGTCCTCAAATAAGCTTAACCTTCTTTAAGCATCTCCCGCAGGAAATTTCGCTCTTCAGTTAGCATATCAACCCAGTCTTTTAAGGTGGCAATCTCTCTCTTTTGGCCTTCCATGGTTTGCGCAGCCTCCTGTAGAGCTGTCTGCAGAGCGGGTGCTCCTGTAATCAATTAAGACCTCATTATCAGATAGTGTTATGCAGATGTATATTATTTTAAACTATTGAAACTATCCATTTACAGCTTAAAATAGCAAGTGATCATAAAAACACATGAAAAGCAATATTGAAATTACAATCACATATTTCAGCATTTTGTTAAATGTAGTTGAGTGTGAAACATATTCTTACCAGTTTCTTTAGCCTTTTCTGCTGCAGAGGTCTGTGGTTTAGGTTCATGGTTCCCCAAAGGTGGAAACACTGTAAGGTTTCAATGACAGATGAAAAATCAAGATTTTTGCAACAGATGCTGTTAAGTGTACTTTTTAGCAAGTAATGTATGCTAATGTCTAAGCTGAGTGTCAACAGCTTGACAAAACAGCTGTATTTTTACTGTCATGTTTAAAAGTCTTTACCTCTTACAACATCTCCAACAGATGTACTTAGTTCACTGTGTGAGGACCGAGGCACTGGAAATTTTGA